AGAATAACTTGACATTGAGCATGAATAAAAGAGTACACTCATGTACAGTGTTTGGTGTGAAATTTCTTCAACCTCTGGCTCTTCAGGTCACTTCTTAGGAGTTTGTCTTAGAAAACTAGCAGTGATATCACAATGACCTTAAAGAGCAGCTGGTATTAATCAGAATGTGCACCTTAGAGGATGGCTTTTATAGCAATTACTAAAGGCATTCAGAGTATAGTTTTTTTTTTATTAATTACACTTTATTCATTTTGTATCCCCCCATAAGCCCCTCCCTCCTCCCCTCCGGATCCCACCCGCCCTCCCCTTTCTGCATGCATGCCACTCCCCAAGTCCAGAGTATAGTTTTTAAATAGTTTTGAGTCATATATAGTTCTTGTACCTTCCCAACCTGAATCTCACATATTCATTGTCTGTATTTGGGGCCACACATCATTGTGATGGACTCTGGCAGCATTCTCTGGTACTCAAAATGGGCGTGTAAATCTACATTTGACAAGAAAGATGTTTGGTCTGTATGGTCTGAGAAGACAGAAGATGACAAGAATTCCACATGAGCACAGCCAGCCATGTGTGGTCCACTAAGGAAGCCGGTCCAAGGAGCTACAACCCTTCAATGAATCCCCAAATCTTTCCAGACACTTATCTGCTAGGTGGAGAAAGGAGAGGAGACAATCTGCTTTGTCCACCTAACTCCTAAAGGTCAAAATAAGCTAAGTTTCTCTCAATTATATTTTAGCTTGCCCCTCATTGAGAACAAGACTCCTTTATTCATCCATGCATTAGCTATAGCTGATGATAAAAACAGTAATCATTCCAAGGTTCACATTTCAGCTTCTAATACCCAAATGCATCCCTCCTGTGAACAGAAGCCTGATTCCTTCTTCACCAAGCTTTCTGATGACTACTGCAAAGCACATTTCAACAGTCTCTCTGGGTCTTCAGCTGTCAATCTTTACTCCTTCCTCTGAGATCCATGGGATTTCTTGGTATGTGAAGAGGAGCCTGTAGCTATAGTCTTGATTTTTCTCTTGACTACATTGTTAGTTTGTGGTTTCACCCTGCGTTATCCTGTCTCTTAACAATATCTCCTCTGGCTCAGCTCAGGTTCTCCTGGCTCAACTGTCACCAGCTGTCTTGTCTTCTCACTCTGCCAGCTGAATTCACTTTTAATTGTCTCTCATTTTCACTCTGCTCAATCTCTTTTCTTTGTCTCTATAGCCCTACTGTTTTCTTTCCTCTTGGAACAACTGTCTTCTTTGACTCTTCTGTCTACTAGATCCTGCTCCTGCCTACTCCCCAATCCTGTATCTCTCTCATGCTCCTTCTCATCTCTATCCTACTACATTCTCCCTGATAAGAGATAAGGGGATGCTGCCATCAGGGAGCTCAGTTTCCTTACATATGTCCACCCTAAGTTAAGAAGTCCCATTTCGTCCTGTATGAAAAAGAGCTCTTTTTTCTTTACAGCATAGTAAATGTCAGGGTTTCCTTTCTGTAGAGGAATGATGACATGTGTAATGTGATACTCCTCTCCTACCTGCCAAGAGAAAACAAATTGTTACAATACCCTGGAAGTTGCAATACATTCTCTTATAACACAAGTAAGTGAAGCCCCCACCATATCCCAGTAAATGATGTACATCTTTCTCTTTCCCCTCAGTATTTCACAACCTTGGGAGCCCTTGTAGGTTCTGTATAATGAAAGAGAGTGACTCTGAGATGTCCCTCTTGGCACATCCTAGGCCTAGACTCTTCCCTGCAGCCGTCAGGAGATATGCTCAGGAGTCTTAAGGTGTTCAGTAATTTATATTCCACGGCTTACCAACATAGGTTCTCAGACCAGGACCTCAAAGGAATTGGGTCCTCCTTTTCTTTTTGCAGTTAGTCAACATGCCTGTATCCATGCCTCATTCCTCCCTGTCTGCCTGTTTGTCTGCCGTCCTGCCTTCTTTGCCTTCATGACAATGTCTCACTCTGTCTGGGAAGCTGGTTTAAACTTTTAGGAATCCTCTAGCCTCAATTTGAGAGTAATTCGAATTGCACTATTAGAGTGAACGTTTCTAATGATAGTATTGAAACACATTGTTTTAGAGCCTCTGAGAAGCAACCACATACAAAGTCATCAAATTCAATGTGTCCAGGCCTTATTACCCATGGTTACTTCTGTCTGGTGATGTGTGTGGACATAGACCTTGGATATGTTCTCTGAGAGTCATGGGAAGCCAGGGCGAAGAAACAGCCTCAGATTAGGAAAGACTTTTCATATCTTTACTAGAGATTTGCACGAGACACCACATGTCTTAATGACCTTCTTAGTGTTTTTCCTTGCTCACTTGAGGGACTTCTCACATAAATCCTCAAGGAGGATCACCGTGGGCAGGCCTCTGAGATTCTCAACTCTTAGGTGACATGGCCTGGTTTCCCTAAGCAGAACTCAGCCAGGCAGCTTGGGAGAGAAATGAAGTCACTGGGATTTGACACCATATCCCCATAATAGAACCACAAAATTAGGAAGGTATTTTTTTTCTCCAAGCTCTGGGTACAGTTTACTGGGATCTAGGACCATGGACTTTACTGTCAGCTTAAGTAGATGAAGATATATTTCTGGATGTGATGTGAGGTGATTGTAAAGAAATTTCTGTGCTGGTGAATGGACTCATTACACAACTTCCTTTCTTAAATAAGGTGGGCAAGCAGAAGCCACCTGGGAGCTAAACAGTCAGACAATCAGACAACTCCTTCCATGTATCTCCTGACACAGACATGTTTTCTTTGTCCTTCCGTCAGATCTCCAGGTCTATTGGACTCTGAACTCTGTGGTCTGGACTTGTGTTTCCCTGGTCCACATGGGTCTTACCTCAGACTGAGACTCATACAAGTGGTTTCCCTGTTCTCTGACTTTCAGACAAAGACTGAGACAGCCTATGAGTATTCCAGAGCTTCCAGCTTGAAGAAAGCCTCCTGATAAGGCTCAGTCATATGGATCATTTTTCCCCAAGAGCCATGAGAAACCCAATATTAAGAGGTTGAAGACAGCATAGAAACTTTCACAGAGACTTGTGTCAAGGTCATATACCACCACAGACCATTTCAACAGTGCAATGATGTTGGAATCGGGGAGACAGTTGAGGCCCTGGAGCTGTAGGGCAATCCATTTGGACATGCAGCCTGGAAAAGCTGTAGCCCAAGACTCCAACTGTAAGTGAAGACGCTACACTAAGGCCAGCAAAGCCACAGGAACAGGGTTCTCAACTGGGATTACAGTCAGCCTGATGATTACTCCTGGACCAATAGGAATTGACAGCTTATTTCTTCTCACAGCTGGGAAAGGCTAATTCTCTCATCTGCATCTGGAAATGTACACAATGCTGGGTGCACAGGTTCACAGATGGGGAAGGCTGGATTTCTCACCTGCATCTGGAAACGTATGGAGTGCTGAGGGCACAGGCTCACAGCTGGATGAGGCTGACTCTCTCACCTGTGTCTAACTGAGGCAGAGCACTGCAATTTGGATGAAAGCTCCTCTTCATTCAAAAAGTGGTTTTGACTCATGTAAGGCAAGACAAGAATCAACCAATACATTAGAAACTTCTGGAAAGGCAGCCCTGAGGAGGGACATGTGTAATTTCAGCATTTGCTGAAGGTTTGCTGAGGCTGCAGGATCTCAAGTCAGGTCTACTCATGTAGAAAGCTAGATGTTAGAAAAGAAAAAAATAAGCAAAAAATTAGCTGAGATACTGGAGAATTTTTTTAATCTTGTAAAATTGTCTTTAAAATATTTGTGTATTTCTTTTAAAAATCCTTTATCTGTGGGTGTGTTTGTGTGTATCTATGATATGTATTTTGAGCATGTGCATGTTCATGTGTAAACAAGGACACACTGATGCTTCAGCACTTCTGCAGATGTGAGCAGATGCCTACAATGCTTTCCTCCCCTTTCCATTTGGTTCAACAGAATCTCTTCTGTGCCTCTGTGTCTGCCCAGCCAGCTGTGCTGTGAGAAGCCAAGTCTTGTCCTGTCTCAGCTTAAGAGAACTGTGAATGTAGAAGCTGCCAACCACACCTGGTGTTTGTGTGCTTTCTGGAGGTTCTATCTCTGCTCCTAACACAGTCACTGCTGGTGCTTTATCCATGAATCATCACCTCCCTGGCCCTACTTGAGAATTTCCTATGAGGGTCTAACAAATGCTGAAAACATGATCACATGCAACTGAAATTCCTTTGATTCACATCTCTCCTTTGTGTCATAAGATTATCTGCGAGTCTGGCTTTTAGGGCATAACAGCTCACACCACAGTCCTTATGGCAGGTGAGGATCCAGTGCTTTCTTAATGTGCTTAACATGACTCTTCACATCTCTACAAAGCTTTTCAAAGATGAGGGTCAGACTTCACAAGTTTTGAGAGGAAACTCATGTAGCTTAATCTAAGTTTAAGGCCATTTTTACAAGATGGTCAGGGTGGCAGAACAGAAAAAGACAGCACTCATCGTAATAGGTTCTGTTACCGCCTCAGAGTAAGTGGATCAATGGAAGCAAAAGACTGAGAGCCAGAGACAAAGTGGTGCAACATTCTCTGTGGTGCTCAGTGCTCCAGACTCCACACACCATCCACCAGCACTGCCTTCCCTGACTGGGGAGCTCCAGTCTCGCTCCTGTGTGCTGACCCAGGTGCAATGGAGACCGCTTCTACACATGTCTTTTCCAAGTCAGGAACTGTGGTGACTTACCTGGCCTTTTCTCTGTGCCATTTTTCCCAGGCTGCTTGGCAGATGCTGATGCTTTTGGAGCGATGACACTATTGTTCTCCTTTGTTGAACACTGCTGTGGTGGGCTGGAGGCTGTGGTTGGCGCAGAGGAAGGTTTCGCTTCCTTTGGTGTTAAGGGTGCACCAGGGCCTACCTCCTCACTTTCATTTTTTCAGAACCTTACACTGGACCAAATGGAAGAGAGCACCAACTGGAAAATCCTGATTTTTTCAAGATGTCTCTTATGTCCTCCCAGAAGGTCGCCTGCTGTGCTTGTTCCTCCTCTTTCTTCTACAGGAAGAGAAAATGATTTAGTCTAATACTTCAAATCTCAGAGAAAAGTCTTGTCAGCACCGAGATGGACAAAGTGTAGTTCTTTTCAGGTCTGGCATCTCAGCATAGGATCCATAACTATGGTGTGGTCGAACCCAGCCTGCACCCACTTACTCAGTTGCTATAAGGCTGTTTGTAAATGACACTTAACTCTCAGTCTTCAAAACACCCTGTCCTACTCTCTCTCTCTCTCTCTGTGTATGTGTGTTGGCTTGTAGGGTTCCAAGTCCATGTGAAAGTGACTGTGGAGCCCATTCATTGACTCACAGACCCAACTGAAACAGCACAAGGCAGTCCTAGGAACAGGCTGAGTAGCAGGAATACAATCCCCATCTCCACTCTCTTTACATTGACCTTTGCCGCCAGGTGTTGTTCATATTCTTCTTGATGATTTCCTTCTTCAGAGTTTCAGCCCTGTAAAAAAAAAACAAAAACGATATTTAGAGTCTAAAATACAAAACAGAAATGGAGAACTAGAACAGTTCTAATGTGAGAAAAGAGGGAATAAAACAAGTTGGGAGAGGAAGCAGTAGCTCATGCATGGCTTGAACCCCATTTGTAGCTATCCCTCTTACTCTGTACTGCTCTGCTGAGGCAGCATCATCTCCCCTGCCACCCAGTGTCAAAATCGGTGGCTATTCTTTGAGTAGCTCTGCACTTCTCTGGAGATATTTAGTCAAGCACATAGCCAACCAAGAACTACCTTGATGAAGTTCGATCTTCTACCATTGGCAGCCCTTTTTCGATATTTGGGACCTTTGTTGAGTTTCTTCACATATAGTCTAAAGGAATAGAGCAGAGTTGTTAAGATATGAAGAAAAATGTGACATGTCTGGATGAAGCCCTGAGGATTTTGGCCTCTTCATGCAGGGTTCCAGAATTTCCTGGACTTTAAAAGAGGCCCATCATGAAATCCCACATAAGATTCCATCCCAGTCATTGGAGAGAGAAATGTCCTCACTCTAATATTAAACTGGCATAGTTAGCAGCAAATATCAGCTGTCAAGAAGCATAGCTAAGCTGACGTGGTATAAGCGTGTCATCCCAGCACTCAGCAGGCAGCAGACAGAATTAGCAGATCCTCAGAACCTTGAGAAATCATGCCATATTCCTGAACTTCAAAGCAGGAAGTAAAGACAATGGTCTCTTTCTTCCATTCCCATTCACTATATGGTAGTTTGCTCTTACAGTACATTTGTGTGTATTGTTTCCCAGCAAGGCCCAACTTCACCTCAGAGATAATTAGGTAATAATGACAGGAGACATGTAGGTGCTCAGAAGTAGGAGGTGGTGTGCTCTGGACACCTCCTGAGATGCTGTGCTCTAGGATGCTTCGAACCTGCTTCAACCCTTACAACAGTCCAAGAATCAAGAAAGAGTAATGGCCCTTTCAGAAACCGTGCTTGAGAGGAGGGTGTTGTAGCTTGCTCTTTGAGACAAAGCTGCAGCCATTTTTTTTAACTTTTATTAATTACATTTTATTCATTTTATACCCCCCCTATAAGCCCATTCCTCCTCCCCTCCCGGTCCCACCCTCCCCTCCTTTCTGCAGCCATCTTTGTATTGAGCTTCCACTTTGTTTCTAAGGTGAAACTAAGTTCAAAGTTTTAAACTTTTTAACTCTGCTTCCTGGAAACAGTTGTTCATAGCTGACCTTATGATTCCATAGTGTCATAACTCATACTTGGTTACCTATGTACTTGGTTACACTCTTGTTATCTGTGCACCTGGTTGCACTAGGTTGCTGACGGGCTGAACTCTGGAGGACTCTCACTTAGAACCAATAAACTTAAAGGTTGGCTTATACTACTGTTTAGTTAGCCAATAATGTAGTCTTGCTTTGCCCTGCACTCACCATGCCTTTTGAATTTGGTTGTTTTTTTAAATAAAAACACTGCTTTGAGACTTTGTAGATGTCACAGTTAGTCTCCCGAGCTCTTACTGTGGTCCTGATCGATCAGCTTGGAGAGGCCTTCAACATGGATGGTTCAATAAACCATATCTAACTGAGACCGGAGTCAGAGTGGTTTGTGAGGCTATTCTTATACCACGACATATGGAGTTCTTTCCGAGACTGCCCACTACCCTAGACTACCCCTCAGTTTGATAAGTGAACACCATCAAGCTACAGACTCCTCCATAAGGAGGTAAATTTTTTTTCTGGTTTCTCTTTTGTTTCTGGTGTGGTCTAGATCCCTGGTGACTCAAAGGACAGAAAGACAGACTTAGTGTTAACTTTTGAGTGAGTCTGGAGAAAATGGAAGGTGTTCCTTTTCTCTGGTGGTCTAGGTGGTAAGGGTTACAATCCATTCCTTTGGACTTGGGCAGGACACTTGTCATGCAGTGCTCTGTCTTTGAAACTCAGTTTTTTAAAAAAATGTCTGTCCATGATCCATGTCAGTTTATGTGTGCTCTGTGTTTTAAACTCTGGGAGAAAGGTCAAACTTCACTTGCTGTTTTAGTTTTAACTCATTTCAAGAATTTTAAGGAAAAAGGAAGCTAAACTGATAAACTGGCTCTGCTCTTGAAGCCTTGCAAGAAGCTGGCACCAGGCCTGAGACTCATCTGTGCATGCTCTCAAAGGGACAAACGCTCCTCGGTTTCTCCAGTCAGGAAGCTTATGTCTGGTCTCTATGGCTATGAGAATTGGATTCAGCACCTAGTAAGTTGCACCTCCCTTGAAATGACAGCTAAAAAAGTAAGAAAAGTTTTGTCTGTTTTAAATGTATGTACTCATCACCACATGTTTGTTTCTGACTGTTTTTAAATATATAAATTTAGTATGTTCTGTATATTTTGGTTATAAATTGTTGACATACATTTTTGGGTATGGTTAAAAATCTCTAACATCTGTAACAAAAAGTTAACTTAAACTTGTAACTTAGGGTTGGAGCTATTCTGAACAATGAATGGAATGAACCAACTAAACAGGTCTCCAAAGGTACTTCTGTGTTGGGATCAGATTTTACATAATTTCTGATACCTGTCCATTCCACTGTCTTGATTTTGATATATTATTTTAACTCTACACTACAGAAAGAAGCCAAGAACAACAGGGTGGCAAAGTGGGCTTCTCCCCTTCTAAAAACTAAAACAAAGCTTATAATTGCATGAATGAAATGCACCTATTGATATCAAAATGCATAATTAAGAGAAACTTCTGATATTGTGTTTTTCTTACTAAAGCCACTGGAGTTGTTGGCACTAATTTTTTTTTTTTTAATAAACTCTGAGGTGGCCAAAATATTTCTGAATTTAACGCTAAAATCTTGGCAAAAAGAAAGATATTTAAATGTATGAGTGTACACTATTGATCAAACATATTTTTACTGTCCTGTCTCATGGCTGGGACACCAGGTATATATCCTGGGTTGCTTAAAGGAATGTCATTTTGAGACAAAGATTGAGGATGTGCTGGATTAATGAGGCATTAAAATTGCACCTCTATGTGTTCATATACAAGAACTTTTCTTACTGATGGCCATACTTTATGATAGCAAAATAATATTATGATATTTATTTGAGAATTTGTTTACACTGTTAAAATTTGGTTTTGTCTTATGAAAATTATAGTTATGCTCTGTGCCTTCACTTTAAAAAAGATACTTAGTTTTGATATTACAAAAACAGCTTAAAATATTTAAATATATGAGATTATGGGACATTTTAAAGTTTAGCAGGTATTTTATTTTAATATCTTTATTAAACTAAAAAAAATTCTATCTTATAATATGATAAGACAATCACCTTAAACAGTCTCACAAAGAACTTGAAACAGTTTTGCAACCCTTTATGGAAAGTAAAAAGACATTTTTACAGGGATAGCCTAAGATTGCTTGAAAATCAGATGGTTATTTTATGATTGATGTTACCACCACAATAACAGAAATATGTAGATTAAAAAGTTACAATATTAAAAAAAATCATTGGCTCTTATGCAGCTAATGGAGACAGATGTATATGTTTAGCCTCCTTGTTTTTTATTAGCATTATTAAAAGAACACACACACATATATATATATATATATATATATATATATATATATATATATATATATAGGGTCTTACAGGAAACTGTGTTCTATGATGATGTGCCATGTGGGGGTTCAGGAAGTTCCCACTCTCTGTATTTAGGGATTATGATGCTGAAGGAACTTCAGTTCAGCAACTCTCATTCTGTTATGGACTGTTAAAAATGATTAGGGCATGCAGGTTGATTGCCTCATGAATGACTGCATTCAATATCCATGACTGTGGTCATGATTGATTACCAGGGTGTATTTATTCGACATATCAGCCCGTCAGTTGCTTGATGGTTAATGAAGAGGAAAAAATGTTTTTAAACAACTAAGAATGCTAATGCTACATGCCAGACTGCCACCTGTCCTTTTCAGTAGAAATTAATGGTGATATTAAAGATTTAATTTGCTTCTGTGCTGATATTGGGCCTGCATATACTTAGGCTACACCTGAAGGGGAAAAAAGAAAAACGGGGTAACAAAGTCCTTGAGAGAATCTCCCTCTGAAGCGTAAAGCTTATGAAGTCTCAGAGGAAAGGTATGACTACAAAATTGCTGTTTCTTGCTATTTTGTCTCTGTTAAATGCATCTGTTACTGATGAAACATATTGGGCTTATGTGCCTGATCTTCCTTTGTTTCATCTGGTTAACTGAAAAAAGAATAAGATTCCTGTTTATATTTGTCCATTTTAGGATTTGGATGCCACTGTTTACATTTATGATTATATTAAGCAAAGATGCTTATATAACAATTTGACTGTTGATGTTCAGGCCTTGCATGATAAAATGCTAACCATTTACCATTCAAAGTTAGATGAATCAATCTTCATCATTGCGTAAAAATCTGACAAAGATAATTTTGATCATTATTTTTCTGTTTGTAACTGGACTTCTAAACTATGGTTTATAAGAATGTCTCTAAGAATTTCGTTATTGGCTATATTGGGCAACATGACAGCCTTAAGGAAAAAAAAAAGAATAATTTGTTAGGGGAGGTTCCCCTCTCCTTCCTTCTGATCCTAGTCTATCAGATCTCATCAGGAGTGGCTGCATTGTCATCTTCTGTGGCCTGGTAAGGCTGCTCCCCAATCAGGGGGAGGTTATCAAAGAGCAGGCCAATCAGTTCATGTCAGAGGCAGTCCCTCTTCCATTACTATGGAACCCACTTGGACACTGAACTGCCATGGGCTACATCTTTGCAGAGGTTCTAGGTTATCACCATGCATGGTACTTGGTTGGAGTATGAGTCTCTGGAAAGACCCCTGTGTTCAAATTTTCTGGTTCTTTTGCTCTCCTTGTGGAGTTCCTGTCCTCTCCAGATCTTACTATTTCACACTTCTTTCATAAGATTCCATGCTCTCTGCCCAACTGTTGGCCATAAGTCTCAGCATCTGCTTTGATAGTCTGCAGGGCAGAGCTTTTCAGAGGTCCTCTGTGGCAGAGGGAAGGTGGGATTAGGAGGGGAGGAGGGAGGCTTATGGGGGGATACAAAGTGGATAAAGTGTAATTAATAAAAGTTAAAAAATAAAAAATACAGAAAAAAGAATAATTTGTTACTGTATGTAACAAGTTATGGATTAACTTGCATACCCTAAAAAGAAAAGGAAAAACTGCAGTGAACCATGGAATTGGCTTGGTCTTTGAAAAACATATGTCATGGGTGTTTCAGGCTTAAATCTATGGCTCCTGGGATACTGTGAACCTTTCAGTTCTTGAGAACCCAAAGAACTTCCTCAGATATTAAA